CTCTAGCTTGCCGGGTCCCCAACTCTGGGGCTCAGTCTGGCCAGTACAACACTCAGGGACTCTCTCTAGAGCTGCTGAATTTGTCATGATGGTGAATCTTGGGGGAGGAAGAGACAGGGAGGGGAGTGGAGCCTAGGGATTGGGAGGGAAGCTGAGAGATTGGGACGGTAGAGAGGACAGAGGAGAGAAAGCCAGAAAGCGGGAGGAAGGGACGGAAAGAGGGAGGCTGGGGAAGAGGAAGAAAATAAATCAAAAGGGAGGCCAGAAAAGCAGATAATGCTGTTTCCTTAACGGCCACCAGGTGACAGTATTAGCAAGGACCAGCTGTCCTTGACCAGGATGACCGAGGCTCCTTACTGATGTCAGGCTAGTCAACTCATCTATGGCGGATATCTGTTGGTTTTTTTGGTTCCTCCTCACATCCATACTGCCTTTTTCTGGTAACATCAGTTCAACTTTCTTCGAGGAAACTACCACCCTTCTGTTAAGGTCTGCCATATATATTTGCATAGGCACACTGCTCAACTCCAGAGGATTTGTTTGTTTTAATGTTTATTATTTTTGAGAGGTGGGGGAGGATGAAGGGGAGAGAGGGAGGCGACACAGAATCTGAAGCAGGGTCCAGGCTCTAAGCTGTCAGCACAGAGCCTGACACAGGGCTTGAACCCACGAGCCATGAGATCATGACCTGAGCCGAAGTCGGATGCTTAACTGACTGAGTTCCCCCAGATGCCCTGGATTCATTCATTTAGATTGCTGAGTGGTACGTGCTGGAATTGAGCAGTGCCAGACCTATACAACTGTTAATGGCAGTCACTGAATGATAGTCCAGTAAGTTGTCCATCCTGCTCCTGGCCTAGGTGGAGCTGAGTCATTCTGATATGAATGCCTTGAAGCAACTGCCCGTTAGTTCTGTTATGTAGGTCTCTGGAGTTATCCTGTTTCTGGTTCTTTCCAACTCCAACAAATTCCTTTAAAAAAATTTTTAATGTTTATTTTTGAGAGAGAAAGACAGAATGTGAGAGGGAGGGGGTAGGGGAAGCGGAGAGAGGGAGACACAGAATCCAAAGCAGGTTCCAGGCTCTGAGCTGTCAGCACCCAGCCCAACGCCAGGCTTGAACTCACAGACTGCGACATTATGACCTGAGCCAAAGTCAGACACTTACCTGACTGAGCCACCCAGACGCCCCAAAGAAACTCCTTTTTTAATTCAAAGATACTTCCTGTTGCCAACAAATAATAAGCCACAATCTACACTTCAAATTGTCCAAATCACAGCAAAGTGGCTTGAGTATTAAGGTTAAGCTAGTCTTTGTTCATTATCCATCACTGATGCATCTAACAAATATTTCTGGATACCTGCTACATGCCAGGCTCCGTTCTAGGCTTGGAAACAACGGTGAGAAAACCAGACATGGCCCCTGCCTTCTTGGAATCAATTCAAACTGGCAAGGGAGACCACAAAATTTATTTGCCACAACCAGCTATAGCATTTCAAATAGCTATATAATCCCAAGGTGCGAGCAGCTTTGTGAGGGAAAGGAATGGAATGCTATGTGGAAGATAGTTTTAAGTAGATAGCATTTATTTTAGGCTTGCTAAGTGCAAGCACTTTCTGGGCCCCAAAGCAATTACCAGAACAATGCTGCAGATTAAATACAACTGTAGGTCTTATTTCACAGGCGTGATAACAGAGCCTACATTAAATAGAAATAGATATCATTAATAATTTATAAATATAAATGTAAATATAAATGGGGTTTTTCCAGGGACCTTCAATACTAAAACTGGGGCTGTCCTGGGCAAACGTAGACAACTTGTCATTCAAACAAGTAACTTGGCTAAGGTCCCACTTTAGGGAGTGGTGGGGCGCATGCGAACTCCAGATCTAGTTTGACCCCAATACTCATGTAGATAGTGATCATCCCACTGGTGCCCTTGGATGTGCACAGCCTGTGAAGAAATGGGGGCGAGGAGGAGAGGCTGAAGGCAGATCAGCGATGAGGCTGAGGTCCACCAAGAGATGGGAGTGGAGATGATCAGAAGCTTTGAACCGTCAGTTACTGTTTGGATAGGAAGAGGGGAGGGGGCAGAAGTGGCGTGACTCGGGGGCTTTGGCTCAGGAGTGGGGTGGAAGCGATCGGGTGGAAGAGGACGATTCCAATTGGCCATAGTAGGTGTGCTATCCAGGTAGAAATGCTAGCACACAGTTGGAGAAGAATCTTAGAATTGGGGAATCCACTTGCCTTAGCTTGTCAGAGCCCAGAGACAAGTTAAAGATTAATGCCTCAGGATCCGCCAGGAAATCTGGTTGCAAGCAACAGACATTGACTCAGATCAGCAAAAAAAGGGGGACTTTTTTTTTTTTTAAATTTTTTTAATGTTTTTTATTTATTTCTAGGAGAGAGAGAGAGAGCGTGAGCAGGGGAGGGTCAGAGAAAGAGGGAGTCACAGACTGAAACAGGCTCCAGTCTCTGAGCTGGCAGTCAGCACAGAGCCCGATGTGGGGCTTGAACCCACGAACCACGAGATCATGACCTGAGCGAAAGTCGGACGCTTAACCGACTAAGCCACCCGGGCTCCCCAAAAGGGGGACTTTTTAATGAGGGTGTCAGGAGGCTCATAGAACCGAGTTAGAATACGGTGGGAATTAGGGTGGGCTGAATGGCAGGAATCAACTACGTCTGGTGGGGACGCCACTGCCGCCACTGCTCCCAGGCGTTGGCTGTCACCACAGCCGCTGAATGATGGATACCACTGTTACTGTCGCAACATCGTAAATAAAATGCTCTCCCTGTGCATTGGTATCAGTTGCTGAAGATTCAAGTCCTGGGCTTCTGATTCGCTGCACCCAGGTCACATGGCTCACGAGCCACATGCCAGGAGCAAGGAGAGCAAGTGTCTGGCTTTCCAGATTTCCACAGTGGGACCTAGTGCTCTGCTTTCTAGCAAGATTTACACATGGGTAATGACTTCCCATGTACAGAAAGGATATTCAGGAGTCAAAGAACCCAAACAAGTGAGTGATAATAAAATGATAATAAAATACGTCTGTGGCCGTCGTATGCACCCATGCCATTGTGTAGGTGATGTTCAAAGAAAATCCTGCAATGGACAGAGTCATCCAAAAGGGGCCCCCAAAAGTTCTCACGGGCTTGCCGGGGCATTGAGGCAGCTGGGTCATCGAGGAGGAGTGCCTCCTTCTGAGCTTCCAGTAGACCAGCGGCCCTTTCCTCAGCAGAAGAGGCTGTACTTTCCCCTGGTTCCCAGTGTCCCCAAAGGCAGGTAGTGTCCCCTCAGGCAGGTAGGGTGACTGTGAACCCAGGTCACCCCAATCCCTTCTTCCTGGTGCCCAGGCGGGTTGTTGCTTCCCTTCATTGATGAGGCTGCTTTCACATGCTCCCCCATAAGAAGGGAGAGTAATCGGCGTGGGGTTCCCTCCACTACGACACAAGCAGTCACACCGAGATTCCAGTAAATCGTTGTGCCCTCATTCCTTTCTGTGGGATGACAGTAGGTTGGGGTGTGGGGGGGACCTGCACATTTTCTTCTCTCCCTGACCCTCGACTTGAACTTTACTCCCTACACAGTAAATCTTAGCTTAACCCATTCTAGGACATGTCTTTGAATTTTTCCTGAGCCTGATACGTGAGGACCCCAAAGGGATCACCTCATCCTAACAATGCTTTGCCGGTTTCTAGAACCTTCCTGTCCTCCCTGCCCTAATTTCCATCTCTACCCTGTCTTCCTACCTGTCAGTGCTATCTTCTTGGCTCTGCATCCTGTGGCACCTGAAATCCTTTCCAGACGCAAAGCTTTCAAGAACTTCCCATCCACACTGAAGTTTCAGGGACTCAGTTAACTCCTTCTACCGAGGAAATGTGCCTTCTGGGAAAGACAACACTCAACAACTTCAAATAAGCACCGACAGTGGGCTGGTGGCACCTTCAGAGAAAAAATATAAGTGGATCTGGAGAGGGGGAGGGAATGTCCCATTTTCCCTCAAATGAAAACCTAGAGGGGGCGCCTGGGGGGCTCAGTCGGTTAAGTGTCCGACTTCAGCTCAGGTCATGATCTCACGGGTCGTGGGTTCGAGCCCCGCGTCGGGCTCTGTGCTGACAGCTCAGAGCCTGGAGCCTGATTAGGATTCTGTGTCTCCATCTCTCTCTGCCCCTCCCCTGCTCATGCTGTCTCTCTCTCTCAGAAATAAATAAAACATTAAAAAAAAGAAAAAGAAAGAAAAAGAAAAAACCTGGGGGCCCTGCCTGTAGGTAAGGCTGGTTCTAGAAGCCTTTTACTGTCCTCCTTTTCTGCACGATCAGGTTGGGTGGTCCCAGAAGCCTGGACCCAGGCCTCAGACCTGAAGGCTCAGGCCTGGTTTAAACAAGGCCGATGCCTCCGGCACCCACCTGGCGGCCTCCCTGGGTGCAGGGACCAGGATTCCAGTGCCGGGAAGGGCGCGTCCTCGCTCCCTCCCTGTCAGGCTGGTCTTGCTGCCCTTATCGCTGCTGTAGTGTCTGCAGTGCCCAGCAGGCCCCCTGTATGGACCCTGGCAAAGTCACCTGTCACCTTTCAGAGGGAGGAAGTATTTGGCATTTATCCTGGGTTGGGGCGGGGGAAGGCTCTGAATTTTCAGGAAGAGGGTCCACAGATTCCCAAGAGACCCCTGGCAATAGCTCCTACCCTACTCAGTCTCTGCAGATGTTCACCCAGCCAGGCTGCCTTTACGCCCTAGAGTGCTTGTGTGTGAATTATAAAAAGGTGCCTCCCTCTTAGATTTGCATATTTATTAAACTGGAAAATTGTTTTACTAAATATACAAATCTAAGCTGTGATGTGAACGGTGACCCCTAGGGTTGTATGGTGCGCAACCTGCACACCTCTACTAAGCAGCCCTGGACACCACCCCCTCCTCCACCATTCCCTCCTCTGTAGAAATAAAGTAGTGGGCCTTGCCCTCAGGTGCCGGGATCCCCTCCCTGTCTGCTCTCTAGTTTCCTCTAAGAGCCCGGTCTGATCTGGGGACAGTCTTTGATGACACTGTAGTACACAGCGGTGGCCTCCTGGGGCGGGGGTTTGGGCCGGGCCAGGGGGCACTGAAATAACCCATGGAAGGCCTCCCAGAAGCGCTGGGACATAAGGGTGTGGATGACGGGGTTGACCGCGCTGTTCAGGTACATGCAAAGCTGGAGGAAGAGAAGGAAGCCGAGGCTGAGGTAGGGCGGGCTCGGGAAGGAACCCCCCACCACCAGGGCGCAGCAGGGCAGCCACAGCAGAGCAAACACCACCACCACCACAGCCGGCATCTTGGTGGCCTGCCAGGTACGACAGGAGAGAAAGGGGAGCAGAAGTGCCGAGAGAGAACCCCCAGTTCCAGGCCTCTCTGCACACTCGCAAGACGAGAAAGCCAAAGGAGCATCCGCCCCTTTGCCAAGCCAGGCCCCCCCTCCATCGCATCCCCAGCCAGGAAGCTGCTGTGCCTCCTTGCAGGCCCTGCTCAAGTCCTTTTCACTGGGGAGCCACCACCCCAAACCCCCTCCAAAGCCCTTGGGTGGGCCACCATCTTTACTGGCAGCAAGTTTCATGAATCCACTGCCTTCATCACAGGTGACGATTACAGGAGGGAACTCAGGTAAGGAGGGCAGAGCGGTGCCGGGCAGGCAGTACGTGCCCTGTGGGCGATTGCTGCTGTGAACACAGGCTCTACTACTACTAGTGCAAGTGGCTGCGGTTCTGAGCCAGGCACAGCTGGGTTACGATCCTGGCTTCACCGCCATCCAGCGGTTGAGCTTGGACGCAGCTCTCTGTTCAGCTCAACCCCTTCTCCCCAACATCCCAGCCACGTGCTCACTTGGCGTACTTTCGCTGCACCCCCGCCCCAACTCTCCCTCCCGACTCTCCTTCCTACCTCTGCCCTTGACTGCCTGTCATGCCCTCCTCCACAGCCCACACCCCACCCCACCCCCACTCATCCACAGGCCAGCACTTCCCTGACAGCAAAAACTAAATCAAGCCTCCCAGAGGTGGGCTGGAAGGTGTTTCAGATGCTTCATTTGAAAATTCCTGAATGGGGGCGCCTGGGTGGCTTAGTCGGTTAAGCGTCCGACTTTCGCTTGGGTCATGATCTCGCGGTTCGTGGGTTCGAGCCCCGCGTCGGGCTCTGTGCTGACTGCCAGCTCAGAGCCTGGAGCCTGTTTCAGAGTCTGTATCTCCCTCTCTCTCTGACCCTCCCCTGCCCACGCTGTCTCTCTCTCTCTCCTAGAAATAAATAAAAATATTAAAAAAAAAAGAAATCCTGAATGAAAAGGCCACAACGGGGCATCTGTCAATGGGAGACAGGGGCAGCCCTAATACCGGGGAGGAGAGCGGTGCACCCAGGCTGCCCACATCCCTGAAACCGTCAGTGAGTCCTTCAGAGGCCAAACCTTGGGTGGCAAAAGTTCGCTTACGAGAGCTTAAGTAGCCCAAATAGTTCCTACCCCGGGTTCTGCCCAGGAAGGCCTGGACACATTGAATCCGCTCCCGGGAATGCGGGAGAGACTAGTTCTCATCACGGAGGAAGCTGGCCTGGAATGTTCCTGCACAAGCTTGCTTCTCAGAGCCCAGGAATTTAGTCCCTATGAGCGACCTCCCCAAGAAGCCCCGGCCCTGGCGAAATCAGTGAACTTCAGGGCTGTGACAGTCTCCAGGAACCACAATTCCCTAGACAGTCTTAACTCCCTATTTTACCAGATTCAGATTTAATTCTGTTCCATTTTGGGTTCATGTGGGTGATAAATACTGGACACCAGTGTGTGGGCTCCAGAGCCAGGCTGCCTGGGTTCAAATCTTGGTTCTAGCACTTACCAGTTCTGTATCCTGGGACTGCCCCTCTGTGACTCAGTTTCCTCATCTGTCAAACCGAGAGGGTAACAGTACCTATTATATCTTGGAGTTGTTACAAAAAAACTCAACATGCTAAGTTGTGTAAAGCACTGAGCCCAGTGCCCGGCACACAGCAAATCCCCAATAACTGGGGTTATATACAATAATAATAATATAGTTATTATTATTAGCAATGGCCTTCCCCACCCTGCTAGCATAAACATCCTGCTTTCATGGGATGCCTCTTCCCTGTCGCCGTTGTACATAGCACTCTGCAAGGGCTCTCTCGGGCATCAAAGAATGCTCAGTCCTTAGATTGCCCGCTGTCAAAAAAGACATTAATGTGCCAACAACAATAATAACAGGTACCTTATATTGAATACTTACGATGTGCCAGATTCATAACATGCACTATGATAATTAAAATCATTTTATAGAGGTGAAAATCAAGGCTTAGAGAGGTGAAGTGACTTACCCAAGGCCACACAGCAAGATGTTAACAAAGCTAGGGGCCAGAAAGAACCCACCCAGGTCTGCAGTACTATTTTCACCAGCAAAAGTTTCGCCTAAAGGAGAGACCAGCGGGGAACTTGAACCCAGCCCTTTTAGGTGAGCAGGAAAGTAGTGAACAGAGATGTAGACAAGTGGGGGGGAGGGAAGGAGGAGCCTCTCTCTGGAGCCTAAGGTTGCAAGGGGCCTACAGCCGGAGCTAAAGGTCCACATCTGCTTAGTCTGTGAGCCCCTTTCCTCTAACGACCACCTTGTTTGAGGCGGCTGGAAGAGCCCCCCACAGTGCACCCACCTCCTGGGAGGCAGGGAGATGGCACAGATGGTTCTCGCCAGGCTCAGGAGTGACTCAGCGGGTGAGGTGTCCTCCGCTCTCCTCCGCAAGCTGAGGGTATGGGCGGAAGACTAAGGATAAAGACCAGTTGGGCTTTGGGGGGCCTTCCTCCCGCCTGCAGTCCTTGAATACTCTTGGGAGGCCACACTGTTGGAGTCCCTGTGGAGGATATAAGGAGCCCGGACACTTGGGTTCTCACCCCAGGTCCCTCCAGGTGTCACCTTCTCACTCCCTTGTCCCCTCTGAGCCCGTTTCCTTATTGATAACAATAGGCGTTAAGCATCCCAAACAGGAGTAATATCAGGAATGATCATAGAACCAGGCACACAGTAGGCACTCCGTAAGTGCTGGGTCTCTCCTGACCTCACCGCAATCCATCCCCATCTCGGGCTGTCTGGCTCTCCACAGCCATCCAGGCAGCTTTAGTGTCCGCTGTGGTATGGACTTGGGAAAGCCACTTCCCCTGTCTGAGTCTCAGTCTCCCCATCCTTAGAATACCACTGTGGAGGGTAAGCCTCTGGTTGTGAGCGTTTAATAATAGCCAACATTTGGGGCGCCTGGGTGGCTTAGTCGGTTAAGCGTCCGACTTTCGCTTAGGTCATGATCTCGCGGTTCGTGGGTTCGAGCCCCGCGTCGGGCTCTGTGCTGACTGCCAGCTCGGAGCCTGGAATCTGTTTCAGTCTGTGACTCCCTCTCTCTCTGACCCTCCCCTGCTCACGCTGTCTCTCTCTCTCCTAGAAATAAATAAAAATATTAAAAAAAATAATAGCCAACATTTTGAGCATTTACTTTGTGATATGGCTTCATATGGGCTATAGGCTTCACATGGTTCGTCCCATTTCTTGGGACACTCCAATGTGGTTGGCGCTGTCATTACCCCATATGACAGACGAGGGAAGTGAGGCTCAGAAAGGCAGAAGTGATAGCTTCAAAATCAAGTCTGGTAAGTGGTACAGCAAGGGGTTATACGTGAGGAATTTGACTCCAAAAGGGCCCAAGATTCCATCCATTCCATCTGCTGGCTCAGAACAAGGGTTTCAATGAAGACGGAGGTCCCCACCTGCTTCCGGGAGTTGAGGGAGCCTTTCCTGCCCCTGGAGGAGAAGCGCTGGTGGCCCGCGGGGCTGCCCTGGTGCGCGGAGCCCAAGCGCCCAGCGGGGGGGGGGGCAGGAGGCCTCGGCCCCACGAAGATGACGCGCGCTATGAGCACGTAGAACGCGGTGGCCAGGCTCAGCGGCAGCGCATAGAAGAGCGCGGAGTCCAGGAAGTAGACGGGCAGGTAGAGAGCGCGCGACCTGCGACAGCCGCACTGCACCTGCACGCCATCGGCGTACGCGGTCTCGCGTGTGTCCACCAGGAAGAGCCAGAGCACGCAGTAGGCGCTGGTGCCCAGCCAACCAAAGCCGCGATGCGCTTGGCGCGCGCCACGGTGCACAGTTTTGGGCTCGCAGCGGGTGGCAGATGGCGAGGTAGCGCTCCATCGTGAACGTGTTGATGCCCACGTACTGCAGGTAGGTGACACCCAGGCAGCCTGCGTGGCCGGAGACCCAAAGCCGGGCAGACACCGCCTCGGCTATGGTGGGCACACCGGCCGCCCGGAGCACCCGCAGGTCCGCTGCAGCCAGGCTCACCAAGTAACAGTTGGTGGGTGTGACCATGTGACGGCTCCGGAGCACCACCAGGACCACCACGGCGTTGCCCGCCACACCCATGGCGCACAGGAGAGGCACCAGGGTCAAGGTCACCGCGTGTACAGCCAGCGGAGACTGGGGCATGGTGCCCGGGCTCGACGCGTTTGCGCGCTCAGGGTGCTCCGTGTGGTTCTCCATGCGCACGGGACCGCCCTGCACCCCGGAGGCAGTGGCGAGTTGGGGGAATTACCCCCGCTGCTAGGGCGCCCTCCGGAGATCTGGACGCTCTCCTAGCGGTAGATGGGTCTCCGGCAGCTGTCTCTCCAGCTCCGTGCAGGGGCTCACTGTCGCTGCTCAGGAAGCCGAGGACTCGGAGGAGTCAGGAGCAGGAACTTGGAGATAGGCGCGTGCCGTTCAGCTTCCAAGACGACTTTTATCTGAATTGGCGCGATCTTTCCCGGCGTGAGGTTTACTGCGGGGGGGCGTCGCAGGCCGTAGGGTGGCACTCCAGGAGGGCACGGGGCGCCCAGATGCCGCCTCCTACAGGACCGACTGCTGCAGCCGGCTCAGGTTATTCCTTCGCTCTCTCGGTTCGCGGGTCCCAGGACCCTGATCTGGGGTGTCCCGTCAACGAGGCGCGGTGTGGGGTGTTGGGTCCCCGCCTCGCTAGGCATTCTCTTTGCTCGGCTTTCCGCGACCACCCCGAGCCGGCTCGCTCCACGGGTGCCGCTGGGCTGATTCTGGTTGACTCAGCTCAGCACCCGTTCTTTCCACTGGCTCCTGGCCCCGCACCCCGGACACTCGGAGTCGCTGGGGGATGAGAGGTGCGGCGGGGAAAGGGTGCTTAAAGCAGCACCCTGCTCCTGAGCCTTTGCACTGGGCTCTAGCTGCCTCGCCTCTTCCTCTCCTCTACAGGGGCAGCTCCACTGGGCAATGCAGGGGGGAGGAGGCGGCCACCCATCGGCTTCTGGACTCAATCCAGAAATCCTACCTTGTTTTCACTGGCAGAAACCTCAGCCCTGCTATTGACAAATGGCGAATGGAGACCCAGAGCTGCGGGGAAGGGAAGGTATTTGCCCATCTAGACTTGGGTTGGCCCTGCCTCCTCCTAAACTTGTTACTTTTCACTTTCTCCTGCGACCCTTTACCAGCCTTCTTTTCTTCCTCCTGCAGAAGATTTGGAAATTCTTGGTGGGTGTGCGTCACCCTCACTGGGATCTCTCCCGCCTCTAGCGCTGTGCCACTCACAAGGCACCCACCAGTTAGGAATCCTTAGCTCTGTCTGTTATGGAAAAGGTGCATAATGGCAGCTGAATGAAAGAAAGAACTTGTTTCTTCCTGAGGGCAGAACCCACTAAGCTTCGTGAAGGGGTTGCTTTCCTGGGAGCTGAGCTCGGTGTCTGAACATAGCAGATGCCGTGGGCTTGCCTGCTGCTTCTGACCCATCAATTATGCTCTTTAAAAATGATTCTTCAGGGGCGCCTGGGTGGCTTAGTCAGTTAAGCGTCCTACTTTCGCTCAGGTCATGATCTCGCGGTTCGTGGGTTCGAGCCCCGCGTCGGGCTCTGTGCTGACAGCCAGCTCAGGGCCTGGAGCCTGTTTCAGAGCCTGTGACTCCCTCTCTCTCTGATCCTCCCCTGTTCACGCTCTCTCTCTCTCTCAGAAATAAATAAAATAAATAAATAAAAATAAAAATGATTCTTCATCTGGGAGCCTTCCATGAGTGACAGAGGAAAAAAATCCATGCAAAGTGCTTAGCTGTGCTCGACTGTGGCAAGGGGTGAATTTATTAGCGATGACAGTTAACACGTATCCCCCCTCCCCTTATGTATGACCCCAGACTCTCAGTCTACTGATCTGATAAATGGACAAGAAATGAATGATGGGGAACTTGGCAGGGCGGTATCTTGGGAGTGCCAGCCAGGGTCCAGGACACCCCCTGCTGTCAGTCTCTATAGGGAATGATGCTAGTGTGTATGAAGCACCTCCTATTGCCGGGCGATGCTCTGTGTGCCTTATAGGTATTAATTCATTCTACAATCACAACATCCTATGGGGACATTATTATTAGATACTCACTTTGCAGACAAAGAAACTGAGGTTTAGAGCAGTTAAATGACTTGCTCAAGGATACACAGATTAGTAAGGTGGGGGGCTACTAGCATTTTAGCCCAGTGGTTTGGCTGTAGAGTCTCCCTTCTTACACACACCCCCTCACCCAACACACACACACACACACACACACACACACACACACACACACGCTCTACCTCTCAGCACTATACTCTTCTCTGGGATTTTCAGCAACAACAATAGCAAAGCATCCTACTCAGAGCCAAACATGGTGCTATGTATCTTATATTCATTATCTTTATTTGCCACAGCCCTGTGTAAGCAGGGATTAGTAGTCCCATTTTATAGATGAGGACATTGAGGTCCAGAGAGGAATGGCCTCCAATGTCACACGATCAGGGGCCAAGCAGGAAGCAGAACCCACTCTCCTTGTCCCCACCCCAACCCCAGCTGTCCCCTGCTCGGCTCTTTCCAGGGTCCCAAATGCCAGTTACCCCCAGGGTTCCTCCTTCCCAGTCCACAAGGTGGCAGTCCTCCGGGATGTGGACAGAGCAATCGTTTTCACCATATTAAATGCAAGTGGCTCCTTGGGCGTCTCTCCCTCTAAGCCTCCCAGCCCAGCTCTCTCTCCTCCTAACTGAGCCGTTCAGTTGCTGGCAGCAAAGCGCAGTCCTTGACAATGAACTAAATACATCTCACGTGAAACTCTTTATTTTCCCATACCCTACCTTTTCCATCTCGAGTCTTCTCTTAGTAAAGGCATCTTAGTAAAGGCACCAGTTGCTGGAACCAAATATTCGGGAATTATTTCTCTCTCTCCCTCACTGCTGACATCCAACACTTAAGCGAATCCCTCAATTCTACCTCCAAATCACACTTCTCATCAATCCACCTTTCGCCACCGTGTCCTCTTCCAGCACTTTCCTCCGTCCCTAACCTCTTGATGAGACAAGTGTGATTGCTCCCAGTGGGTCTCCGCCACCTTCTCGCCCCTCACTCTACAGCCTCTTCATACAGAATCAAGTGATCTCTTAAAAATGTAAGCCATTCCCCTGCTTACACCCTTCAATGACATCCTTTTGCACTTAAAATGAATCCAAGCGCCTTCCGCCAATCCTAGAATGCCCTGCATGTAGGGGCCTCTCCCCACCTCGCCCTCTTACTCGTGATGCCTCAGCCAGAGCCTCCGTCTTTCTGTCCGGCTTACAAGGTGTGATGGCTGAATAGTGTCCCCCCATCGTTTGTCTACCCAGAACCGCAGAATGTGCCCTTATTTGGAAATAGGGCCTTTGCACATATCATTGGTTAAGTGGAGGCCATCCTGGACTAGGGTGGTCCTAAATCCAACATACGAGGCCTTCGTGGCAGAAAGGAGAGGGAGAGTCAGAAGCAGAGACATCCACATGGGAGAAGCCACACAAAGACAGAGGCGGAGACTGCAGCACTGTGGCTACAAGCCAAGGAAGAAGCTAGGAAGAGGCAAGAAAAGATTCTGCCCTTGACCTTCAGTGGGGACACGGCCTGTTGACACCTAGACTGCAGACTCCCAGCCTCCAGAAACTGTGAGAGAAGAAGTTTCTGTTATTTTAAGCCCCTCAGTTCGAGGAGCTTTGTGACAGCAGCCCTGGAAAGCTGAAGCACAAGGGAAGTGCCTACCTGTCTTAGAGCCTCTTTGTGCACGATTTCCCAGTGCCCAGCTCAGATGCCCCCGGTCGTGGGCATGTGATTCCTAGGGTGGGGGTGAAGGTCATGCCAACCGATGGGGAAATAGAGGCTCCATTCACTCAGTCATTCAACAAACACTCACAGAGCTCCTCCTCCAGGCTGGGGGCTAGTGCAGTAGACAAGATATTCGCTGACTTGTGCATTCATACATTCATTTGCTTGCTGCTCATGCATTCATTCTTTCAACATATATCGCTGGGGGCCTAGACACATTGTAGACATTATTTTTTAGAAATAATTTTTTAAAGTTTATATATTTATTTGGGGGTGGGATAGGGGCAGAGAGGGAAGAAGAGAGAGAATCCCAAGCAGGCTCTGTGTTGTCACCCCAGAGCCCGATGCGGGGCTCAAGCTCACAAACTGAGAGATCATGGACCTGAGTTGAAATCAAGAGTCAGACACTTAACCCACTGAGCCACCCCAGTGCCCCCACTGTAGAGGTCTTTAATAATGGTCCAGATTGTTTCTCATTGCTTCCATGAGAGGTGGGGTTTCTGTTTCCTTCCCTTGGGGTGTAGGCGGACTTGTGACTTCTTCAACAGATAGGGCACGACAGCAGCAGTGCTGTGTGACTTTGAGAACAGGTCACAAAAGGACACCAGCTTCCACTTGATTCTCCTGAAACACTCGTTCTTGGATGCTTGCTTTTGGGATGCTCCTTCTTGGAACCCAGATGCTATGAGAGGCCCAAGCCACGGAAGCAGCCACATATAGGTACTTGGTCCACAGCCCAGATGTGACATCCCAGCTCAGACAGGTCAGTGAAGAAGCCCCCAGATACAAGCCCCCAGCCCTTTGAGTCACTCCAGCTGAGGCCCAAGGCATCACGGAGCAAAAACAAGCCACCACCGCTGTCCTGTTCTGATTCCTAACCCAATCCACGAACATCGAAACATGGGTTGTTGGTTTATGTCAGTAAGTTCAGGGTGGTTGCTACATCACAATAGGAAGTAGCAGGACACATGTGAATCGGACTGTCGCCAATTGCCAGGGAGCAAAGATTGTCACCGTGGGAAGGGAAACCCATTCAGTAATTGAACACATGTTCACTGGTTTTATAGGGACCAATCTGGGTCACTGAGACGATTAGTTTAGCTCTGGAAATTAGGCAGAGTGGGCATGAATGCTCCCATTTTGAAGATGAGGAAACTGAGGTGAAGTGGCAAAGAGAGATAAAGTGACCTACTTGGTGTCACATGGACAACAGGGGATGCAGTAGGCACTGGAGCCGCATCTAAACCTCCATGAGACCCTGTCCCTCTGATGGCACTTTGGGCAGGAGGCAGCCGTGAACACAGTCTTGTCCCTGGTCTTCCAGCACATATGGTCCAGTGATGGAGGAAGACAGCAAACAAATAGATCACTAGACTTGCCATACGAGTTAAATTTTTTTTAATGTT